TCTCGTCGCCCTCCTCCAGTTTTGAGCAACTCCGTTTTTTCTAGAGCTGCTAATTTTCTGACCTCTTTCTTCTTGTTTTCATAAAAAGTTTTCAACGCTGGCCATTCGCGATGCATTAATGCCGGATTAACAGCATTAAACTCTCTTTCAATCCGTCTCCATATATCTTCCTTTTGTCGACGCGAAAGGCAGTCTGTTTTTTTACATTCTAATATGTTTTTGTATGAGGCTGCAATGTTAAGCAAAAGCATTTTTTCTTCGGAGGAAAAATTGGAAGATCGCACTCTTTTTTTGGGAGGTTCTTGGTCCATTCTAGGAAAGAAAACACAAACAAATAAAATATTATTTTAATTTTATTTTCAAACTATATCAGTTATAAAACCTAAAATAATTGAAGTAATTATAGATGTYCAACTTACTGTAATTCGTGTGACTCTTTATCACTTCYCACTTTCTCTCAYTTTGATTAAACTAGTTCAATTGCCGCCACAATTGTCAAACGCATTTCAAATCGAAAAAAATTACAGTGTTGCCAAATARCATCGCCGATTAACTAAACGACGGTCGCCAACATTCGGTGCAAAGGAACAATGAATTTTAATCAGAGACTAACTAAACGCCGATTAGTTAAACGGAGATTTTAATCCGAGACGGTGCAAACCACCCTTAATTGCAATGTATGAAATCAATAAAAAAAAATTCAAAGTATTAAAATATGAGAAATAAATAAATTTTTATTGAAATCAATATGTCGTTTTTATTTATTACAAAATAAACTAGTGTTTTGTTTGTGAATGAATGTGGCTGTTGATTAACTGGAGAAGGTATGGAGTATTAATTAAGCAAGATCTGAATATATTATCTCATGTAAATCTCAAGAAAAAGCAACAATACATTTTGCAAACTTTATTTGCAGTTGTTTAGAGTTACAATTTTCCAAATCAATTAGGTAACAATAAAAAATGTTTGCTTTAGTAAGACAGTCATTGTTCATAATTTAGATAACTATTAAATATAAAATTTGTGAAATATTAAAACGTAATCAAAATAAAGCAGGATGCCAACAAGAGCCTATGTTGAATAGGAGACACAGCATCCGGTTGTATTAGATAAATTAAGTAAGTATTGCCATCCCAGCAATAAGATACTTTGTGAAATAGGAAACCTACCATCCGGTTGTGTTAAATCTAATTCTTATTTACCTTTTATTAAAACAAATAATTTTTTTGTTTTAATTTTTTTTGTTTAAATCAGGAGTGTTTTTAAAATTTAAAGAAAACAAATTAATTTTTTATAAATTTTATTTTTATTACAACAGCAACACTATTTATTCTAACTTAAAATCTAACTTATTTGCTATACTTAATAATTTTTCTATTTGTACAAAAAATATTTTTTTACTTTGTATTAATTTATTTTTATATGCTATATATTTGTCTATTTTTTTATTTTAGTTTCAATTAATAAATTTTGTTTCACAACATTTTTGAATTTATTACAGATTTGGTTTTTAAAATCCGTTGCCATTCTGTCTACCTCCGTATCCATCTCCATCGTCTCATCCTCATCAATCAGTGAAAACGTTGATGAGGGAGATGGCGACACGGCACGGCACGTCGAAGAGGACCTTTCGTATAACTGCTTTCCTTTTCCTTTTCCTCGAAGAGGACCTTTCGTATAACTGCTTTCCTTTTCCTTTTCCTTTTCCTCGACCTTTACCCTTTTTCGATGGTGGTTGGGTGGTAAAGGCATCAGACGAGTCCTCTTCCAAATGCATCTTAATGTCGATGTCGTTAAAAGCAATCTGAAAGTAATTAAATTTATTATGAGTAAAATAGGCAATAATAATAATAGGTAATATCAAAATAAAAAAAATAAATACATACGTCACTTATTAATTGCGGATCTATGGTGATAGAACTCGTCAGGCTTGTTTCATCATGCACTTCAACCGGATCAGCAGGCTGTTATTATAATTTATTAATATTTTTATAAAAAACAATTAACTTACATACCTTAATCAGGTTTGTCGAGAGAATGTTAATGTTTCTTGAAGAACTCATTTTGTTTTAATTGGTTTTTAAGATCACTTAGTAATTCACTGAATAAAACTAATGAATAAATTAAAAGATAAAGATGCTGGATTTGTATAATAAAAAATAAAAAACTCGTGTCCTATCTTTACTGATAAAAATTTTACAGCTGTTATGGAGTTATTTTGGGATTTGATGTCAAACCCTACTCCTTAAATTGAAATGATTGTGTGAAAATGAAACACCAGCGTCAGCCCAACTATTTTATACTTTCGGTTCACTGTACATTTTCCAACTGACTGTTTCTTGGGTAGTCATCCCTTATCCCTAACTACCTGCTCTGCGAAAGTGGGCTTTACTACACAACACCTTCCACCTAAAAAAAAAATTTTTGCAGAGCCTAAAATTTTAATCATGAATGAAAAAGAAAGAAAAAAAAGGTAAAACTTAAAAACGAAATATTACAATAAAAGGTAAAATATAAAATTCTTAAATGTAGGACAACCATAAAAAAAGCAATATAATTTTTTTTATTAAGAAGTATATACGCAAAGGGGCTGTTCCCATATGGGACCACTAGGCGCCTGTACTATAGCTACTTAAAAAATTATAAATACACTTCTACTTTGTGTGAAAGTTACGAAAGCATTCTACACAAAGTCCTACATTACATTTACAGCACATTGTTCTGCCTCTACTTGTGCAGCTTTGGCCAGCGCATCTTCTTTTTTTTTTTCCCGGGATGGGTGCCACAAAGTGTTTTAGACCGTCAAATCTAACGTCACCGCTAACGCGAAAATCGCTTCCTGCTGCTACAAGAACTCGTCCAGGAGCTTTTGGAGGGTTTTTAAAGTTGGTCAAATATGTCTAAAATCAGAAGACTTTACATTTATTCAGTTATAAGCAGATTACCTATGCCTGAACCATAGATGAAATATTATATTTCCTCTATGCCTGAACTATGTTTCTTCTAAATTCTACCTGGCTTATGTTGCGGCCACTCTTTCTATAGTATAACGTCCACGCATTTTGGATCGCTGCGTCGACCATATACGTAAAAAGATAGACCAATACCATTTTTTGGACCTTATTCCGATGGGGTAACTAGAACAATATTATTTAGAGTATATTTTTTATGTTTGGATACAGTAATTTACTATGAAATGTTTCCATCCATCAAGTCTGTTCCACCCATATTTTTGTTGTATTGTGCAACTACGTCTGGACGACTCACTGCAACATTCTTTTTTTCTTTACGAGAAAACCTTTCAACATTTCGCACGTGTGCTACCCCGAAGTAAGTACTGGCCATTGTATAGTCGTAACCAAGAATATTTGGGATTGACGTATGCAAAGCTTTATTGAGGGTTAAGCAGCCTTGCGGTCGGCCGTAATAATTTTTCACTGCTGGTGGTGCTACACTGAAGATTTACAAAAGAGCCGTATTCAGGAATTTTCGTGGTAGGCTTTTAATTTATTACAGGCAAAAATTTGGGAATTTGTATATTAATTTTATATTAAAGTGATAATGCAGATTTGTAAAGAAACAATCTCAAAATATAGCTGAATATTAAAATTACGTAGGGGAAATTTGGGTAAAATGGCACACTTTCTTAAATACGCAGGTTCCAAATTGAAAAAAATACAGAGCCTACCATGTTTATTAATCTATGAATAGAAACAACAATATTAGGTAGATTTTCAAAAGGAAAGGTTTAAAGTGTAGTTTTATATTACAGGTGAAGGTAGGCCATTTTATTCAATAGATTGGATAATATGGCATACACCTTATATTTATACACAAAGTTCACATATAAAAATCTTGATTTTGGAGGGAACTCCAGCATAATCCGTGTGGCACCACATTTGGCAGATTTGACAACAAACCCAGGTTTCCTTTGGCTTAGACCAAAAATTTGTTGCAATACAAACAAGATGCTTCATCATCATTATCCTCATTTGCAAACGGATCCTCGTCTTCGGTGTCAGGCTCAAGAAGAATCTTCTTAAGGTTTTTCGTTGCTTTTCGTTTCCTAATAGATCTGCGGTCTTCCAAATTTTTTTTTCTTCTGCTCAAAGGAGCTCTTCCATGTTTGGAGTTGAATTTAAAACCAGTGGTCCCTGACTTCTGCGTTTTCTTTTATTTTTTGTTGCCTGTGCTCTTGGCAGTGCATTAATCACTTCCAGTGAAATGTATTTTCTGTTGTCCTCGTACGTTTTGTTCTTCTCCGCGTCTGCCTCTTCTTGGATATTGTGTTCAAGTGGCGGAGTAGGAGTTTTCTCAAGTCGAAGTTGAAGAGCAGATATCCTCAGCGGGTGAGCCTCCCCATAGTCAATCGGAATGCTTTCAGAGAGGCTAGGTTGTGAAATTTTTTTGGAAGATGTTTGAAATTGCGCGTAGTTCAAATAAGAATAGCGTGCAATTTTATCCGCATGTGCTTTATTACCCAAATTTCCCCTAAGAGAAATTAGTAAATCTTAAACTAATGTTTTTTATGTTTTGGACACTTTCACTATCAAAATTGAAAATTTTTACGGATGCGTCTTGACTCTACAAGCAACTTGAATGAAGCCCTGAAAAATTCCTCAAGTCGTTCTTACACCCCTCAACAGCTTCTCGCTAGTCGTAACCAGGAATATTTGAGATTGACGTAAGCAGCTTTGCGGTCGGCCGTAATAATTTTTCACTGCTGATGGTACTACCCTGAACATTTTCAAAAGAGCCGTATTCAGAAATTTTCGTGGTAGGCTTTTAATTTATTACAAGCAAAAATTTAGCAATTTATATATTAATTTAATATAAAGTGATGATGCAGATTTGTAAAGAAACAATCTATATACATTGTGTCAATTTTAAAACTTGCAATCGGCAATTTCTCTCAACTGAAAAAGTTATTAATAATCACTCAAAACCGTTTTGGTGGTTCCTATGGAAATTAAAATGACATGATAAGTGACCCACCTCCACCCACCCTTGAATATAGTAAAAAAAATGAAAATTTAACGTCTTCGTTTTTGAATAATTGGAAAAATAACTTTACCAAATAGGGTGTTGTATGACATTTTTGAAAAGCGCTTGTTATGGGCTTTCCAACGATGTATCGCAAGTAGGGTCGTGCCATTAAAAATTTTCAACTTAAGGTGGCTGTGGCTCGAAGGGTGGGTGGAGGAGCGTCACTTACCATGTCATTTTGATTCCCCCTAAAAACTACCGAAACGGTTTTGAGTGATTCTCAATAACTTTTTTAGTTCTAGAGATATTGACGATTGCAAGTTTTAAAATTGACACTCTGTATATGAAGAGGCTTGTCCTGACTGACCTATCAACCCACAGCCTAAACCGCTGGAGACAGAAATTTCAAATTTTTACAGTAGATATCTTTTATAACGTAGGCATCCAATAAGAAAGGATTTTTGGAAAATCAACCCCTAAGGGGGTTAAATGGGGTGGTGAATTCGAAGTTTTAAAGCTATATCCATGAAAATTGGTATTTAGGCTTTCGGTTAAAAATTAAAAAATACGTATTTTACCATTTTTGGAAATTTCACCCCCAAGAGGGTTGAACAAAGGTAAAAGGTCGTAAAATATCCGTATTTTTTTTAAAATTAAATCCATGAAAATTGGTATTTGGGCTCTTAGTTAAAAACAAAAAAAACACGTGTGTTAAGATTTTAGAAAATTTCATCCCCAAAGGGGTCAAACAAGAGATGAAAATTTGTATAAATATTTATAAATTCGTCATTTTTGAAGTTATATTTATGAAAATTGGGATTTGGGCTTTCGGTTAAAGATGAAGAAACACGTGTTTTAGGATTTTTGAAAATTCCACCCTCTAGGGGGTTAAACAGGGATGACAATTTGTATTAAAATATGTCATTTATAAAGTTAAATCCTTGAAAATTTGTATTTAGGCTTTCGATTAAAAATCAAGTACTGTTTCAGGATTTTTGGAAATTTCACCCTCAAGTTTTACAAGGGTAAAACTTCGTAAAATATTAGTTTTTTTCCAGTTAAATCTATTTGGGTGTTCAGTTAAAACAAGATAGCACGTGTTTCAAGATTTTGGAGAATTCTATGTCTAAGGGGGTCAAATAAGGGATGAAAGTTTGTATAAATATGTATAGTTAAACATGGAATGAAAATTTGTATCAAAATTTGTCATTGTTAAGTAATATCCATGAAATAAGACTTAAAATTTTACGGTTTTTAAATAAGTTATAAAAGACGGACTTTTTATTTTTACTACGAAATTCATAATAAATTGTGTTGCTATATTTGTTAGTAAGTTTCTTAGCCCTTCTGCGTTTTGAAATAGTTGTGGATGTCAAACTACCACACGAGCGAAGCCGCGGGCAACAGCTAGTCTTAAAATATAGCTAAAGATTAATATTAATTATTTATTTTTATGAAAGCCCAAAAACAAATTTCTGTTACGGACCATCTCTTCCTACAAATCTTTGAAACGTGCCTGTTCTAAGAAATGCAAATTTGTTTATGGCATCTCTACCGCAAGCCCTATGAACCACCGTGGGGGGTAATCGTCATATTCTATAATGAGTCTCAAATATTGTTGGTAACCAACTATACTATCCTTAAGTGCGAATTTCGCCCTAATACTCGTACTAACTTAGCTTAAGAACTCCTTGGCCTACTCGACGTCCCCGCTTCTCTAAAGCTTTGACAAATTATGACTTGGTTAATTGCTAAATTTAAACAACCAAAGGAACCATGTTCTGTTTACAGCAAAATATGAACTTATTATTTAAGCTAATTAAAATTACCTAAATTGACTTTTGACCTAGACGTTTGCTGTTCAGTTGACTACATTAATTTTCAACGATTTAAATTCATTACAAAATTTGAACCAGGTCTTTCTGAAGTACCTTAATACATCTGTAAACCTATAAAGTATAATGGGCTATAGAAGAAGAAGAAAAGATTTATCGGAAGGGTTAATTAGAAAGATAACAATGGATTCCTTAAGCTTTTTTTTTATTAGTTTTGTATCAAGAAGGTTGTCAACAATTGGAAATAGGAAATTGTCATGCAAAATATATTATTAAAGAATTTGAAAGTGAGAGAGATATCGTCCCATTGTACAAACAATTTAAATTTCTTAAATTAATGAAGCCTAAAATTGCGCTCCAAAGTGATAGAAAATTTCCCTAGACGTTTTATACAACTTATGTCAAATTTGCAACATGTTTTTCCTCATTGCCTTTCTAATATTAACAAARTCAATACTATTTTAATACAGTTTACAATGGAAAATTTATGCATTTTGGAGAAACACACGAGTCGTTTGGCCTGGATCGCTCGACACCCTCCTGAAGGCGTAACGAATTTAGGTTTTAATATTTCTAAAAAAATGACTGGATATTCGATAGCTTTATTGCAACCCTACACACTTTTAAGAATGTTGACTTTTACCAGATTTTAATATTACTGTAGCTCGTGGGAACTCAAATTCATTTTTAAATAGAGAAAAAAAATACTTATTGCTTTACAGGGTGAAGGGGTTGGGAATATTACAATTTGAAAAAATGTTTTTTTCGGCACTTTTGAGCCACATTTCATCTACTGGTATTTTACGGTTCTCAGAAATTTGGTATTCATTGTATGTACTGGGCAAAATTTGCCATTTTAAGTTTACCTTTGTTATATCTAAATATTCTTTAAATAAAAATCATTAATATTGATATAAAACTTTAAACGATTCGTATGGGAAAAAGTAAAAGTTGGATCTAAAAACTGCATAGTTTAAAAAATCGTCATTAATAGGCAACCTTTGTTGCATTTCTGATCCAGAATTACCTAAATTCTAAACATTTAGTTAAAAAATCATGTTTAACTTCAGATGGCATATTTTTTTTAACAACCTTTCGCATACTATCTCTAAATGCATTTTTGATAAAGGCAAAAGAAATCTGGGTGTTTCAGATTTAAACTTGCCAAATTTTTTTCCATGGTAATTTCGGGTTTCATAAAATTGCCGCATATTTGCTTCATTAGCTTTTGGGAATCGTCATATAACATGAATTAAAATATTGCGAGACTAAAATAAAGCATTAAGGGAATTTACAAAATGTAATACATAATTTAAAAAATATATACTGGGTGTCCCAGGCAGGCTTGGATTTAGGAGATTAACATGGGAAATTAGTTTTTATTTTTTTCCGGCTGCAGGAGTAACAAAAATAAAAATCTGATTAATGAAGCTTGTAGTGCTCGAAAAGGACAATCTTATCGATATTTTTGTCGATTATCCAATTAACTCCATTTCGGCGAAAACGGCTCTTGAAAAATTGAAATTTGAATTTGCCGGGTTAGCGTTACTAAGAAACGAACTATCAAGTCAAATTGTGACAAATTCTCCTTTGGCAACAATGACTTTGATAGTTCGTTTCTTAGTAACGCTAACCCGGCAAATTCAAATTTCAATTTTTCGACGGTCGTTTTCGCCCATATGGAGTTAATTGGAGAATCGACAAAAATATCGGTAAGATTGTCCTTTTCGATCACTACAAGCTTTATTAATCAGATTTTTATTTTTGTTACTCCTGCAGCCGGAAAAAAATAAAAACTAATTTCCCATGTTAATAACTTCGATAGAAAGGCTCGGATCTAACCAAGCAAATTTCCTGTTACACCATAGGACTCCAGTTTTGCTTTGTCAAAGGCATTGCTAAAATCAAGGTAGATTATGTCTACAGGTTGGTTAGAATCTAACATTTTTGTCCATAGATTTGTGCACGATGACAACTGACCTACCTGGTAAAAAGCCGTGCTGATGCTCAGGTATTAAATCATTTTTTTGCATGTAAGTTAATAGTTCTTTGACTATAATTTTTTCCATAATTTTACAGCATGTCGACGTAAGACWTACAGGTCTATAGTTAGTAGGATTAAGTTTATCTCCTGACTTGTACAAGGGCGTGATTGTTGCTTGCAACCACTCGTTGGGCAAGGTGCCTTGTGAGAATGATTTTGTCATCATTTTGGYAAGTGGGCCCGACAACGAAGCAGTACAAGTTTTCAGGAGCTTGGGAGGTATCCTAATCCGGACCTGGAGCTGTATTTAATTGAAGGGCACATAGTTGGCTTTTTACCAGGTCCGATGTAAAATTAATATGAGATAATCCACTAAATGTATCTGTAGGTATAAATGACGGGATATTATTTGTAATGTTTAAATTGAAGGTTGCAGCAAAACTGTCAGCTAAAGTGTTTGCAGTTTCTGTATGATCGGAGCAGAGTAGAYCTGAAGCATTTCGTACTAAAGGAACCGACACACGACTAGAAATAAATTTACGTACATAGGAGAAAAACAGTTTTGGTTCATTTAATGTCGAATGTTCATAATTACTYCTGGCCAATTGTAAATCAAATTTTAATTGGTTAGAAATTTTTTTATGAGCAGAAAAATTATCTTCAGTAGGCTCCCGTTTACATTTTTTCCATAATTTATTTTTGTATTTTATTTTGTCAAGCAAGTGTTGATTTATCCACGGTTTATCTTTTCTCAGTCGGTTTGTAAATATTCTGGTATTGGTTTCAATACAAGTTTGTAAAATCGTGTTAAAATGTTTCCATTGCTCTTCCACATTTAGTGAATCTAAACCATTCCACTCGTAAGCCAAAAGACTTTCGTCTATCCGAGAGTAGTCAACAATTGATGTTGTTTTAATTCTTGTATTTGGTTCTGAATATATCATATGTTGTAGTTCAATTGCGATTTTTGAATGATCAGATGTACCTACAGGATTCGAAATGTTTAA